GCCCTGCACTTCTGCAGTTACCCTGCAGGGTTTCAGAAGGAAGGAAGGGCTCCAGCAAGCCCTGCCACTGGAGCCATAAAAGCCTGTAGTGGGCTGGGCTGATGGGGTGGAGGAGGGGTGGTAGCTAAGACTGTTTTTTTTTTCCAGTGGAAAATTAAATCTGCTCAGCTGGCATCTGATGAGAAGCTGGGGGCTGGTCTGAAAAGGATGCAGCTGGAGGAACCGTCCATCTGGATCTTGCAGACCTCTGGATGTTGAGAGGTTATTCTTAGCCATCTTTTCTTCTGTCTTTATTTTCCTTAATCAGGGCTCTCTTGATTTTGCAATTGGAGCCTTTTTTCCTCTTCCCTCTATAAAGCAATGATTTTCCATATAGTAATTCTTTCCTTTTTGAGACTTCCAAGAGTGGGTGGGTGGTTCTTTTGTGCTCCAACACTTTGCACATTGCCTCCCACCCGACTTCTCCCCTGAGTATTTTTGTGGCTGATGATGGAGACCTATTATATATGCTAAGTAGTTGGCCCCGTCTCTTTGTTTGTTTACAAAGAACTTAACCATACCACTCTCTTTGCGAATTATTTGTTCCTAGTAACATCTAATATGACTACATTTCCCACCTGTCCTCCCTCCACCTTATGTGTCCTGAATTCTCCTGGATTAATTTAACTTGAGGTTTAAGAGGCAGCAAAACCAAGGGCAGGTGGCTGAGCTCCAGTCCTGGGCTCCTGCGTCACAATCATAATCACTCACATTGACACGGTGCTCTGTGGCTAACAAAGCACTTCACATTCACTAGCTCATTGACTCCTCAGAACAGCAGAAGCCAAGGCTTCTGTGGTTCAGTGACATCTCCAGCCACAAATGGCTAAGAGGAGGGACAAGCTAGGTTTGAGCCTGGTTTTCTGACTCCAAATCCTTTATTCTCCCCTTTAGCCCATACAGGGGTCACAAAGTCAAATGCCTTTGGGGACCTGGCAGATACTGTAAATGAGAGAACTGGCTGAGGTAGAACACATTAGGGAGTGGGGAGGAGTGTGGGGAACTGGAGAGCACAAGCCTTGCCTAGAGACGTTAAAATGCCCAACATTTAAAAAGCAATTTAAAAAACCCTACTTATCACTTACATATTACCCAGTCTAAAAACCACCTCTTTGATGGAAAAGGGTGGGGGTGTAGGTGGTGTCACCTTTACTATTGAGCAGCATTTACTTAGTAGCATAGGTAAGTACTCCCTTGGTTGTGGTAAGTCTACAGTATAGATGAGGCAGGATAGTATGTGAAAGATTAAGTGTGTGGTTTTGTTGCCTTTAAGACAGTATTATAGCTTTTAGGATAGTGTTACAGACCCAGGAATGTACAGATCCTGTGCCTATCCATCATCTCTCCTCTAGAGTTTCTGAGAGATAGGATTCAAAGTCATGTTTTACTAATGGTTGTACAAGCCCCCAATGCTGTAATGCACAGCTCTGGTCAAAGGTTCCACTCCTCCTTCTCTTCCTCTTCCTCCGTTTCTCATGAAACCACGGGACCTGGTTGCTCAGGTGCTCATGATGTGAGAGAGAAAGACAGTGACAGTGACAGAGAGATGGTCAGGCCCCCAAATGGACGCAAGTTCACTTTCTCACCGAGGGCATGGAACCAGAAGAAAAGAGAGCAGAGCATGGGTTCCTGCCTACTAGCAAAATGTGGCCCAGTAAAGGTCATGGGCTTCGGCTGATCAGATAAAAAACTATTTTGAGGGGCATTAGAAAAGAAGTGGAAGGAGCCCTGGTGATGCAATGGTTAAGTGCTCACCTGCTAACTGAAAGGTTGGTAGTTCGAACCCATGCAGCTGCTCCACCAAAGAAAGACCTGGTGATCTGCTCCTATAAAGATTTATGCCTAGAAAACACTATGGGACAGTTCTATTCTGTCACATGGGGTCACTAGAAGTTAAAATCAACTTGAAGGCCCCCAACAACAACAACAAAGAAAAGGAGTGGGTGAACGTGGGGCTAGCCTGAGAACAGGGGCTGAAGTGTACCCCCTACCCTAAATAGACCAGTGGTTAAGACTTGCCTCAGAGAACACAGCTCTGCCACCAACTATCTGCGTGACCCTGGACAAACTATTTAACCTTATTCCTCAGCATCTTCATCCATAAAATATGTATAATCCAGTTGTCATCAGAATTAACCAAGATAAGGCATGTACATTATTCAGTAAATGTTACTTTTTTTTGTTGCTTTACGTTTTGCCTCCTAGCTATGCTCTCGAGTTCTTCATTTTAGCTAGAACCTGAGGAAGCCTTCAAATGCTGGCAGAAAGAATACGGACAAAATAATTCATAGAACAAGAAACTACAATATTCTGCCAATTTTTCCTCTTCAGAACTTGCCATTTGCCCAAATGCCCTGATTCTACCCTTTTCCTCCAGCTCCATACCCTCAGATGGTCCAGTGAGATGGAATCCTGGACAAGGTAGCTGGGACTCTACTGGATAATATCTGGCTCTCACATTTGCTTTTTGTGTACTGAACAGTGATTTTTCTCCAGATATCCACTCCAACTTAACTGCCGTCTGGTTGAAACTTCCCTGAAGTCCTTGCTTTTCTCATTTGCCTTCATCTGGTTCCTTTTGGGACAATAAATTTAAGAAGTCAGATTCTTCTACTCAAACACAACAGATCATTGCTGTACTCAGTCAATTGTGGACTGAAAGCCCCTCCTCCAATCTTTAGAGTTTATTTTCTTTGGTGTGAAAAACAACTCATTATTTATATTGTGCAAACAGAATTAGGTTCTTACTAACATGAAGAATTACGTTCTTTATCAACAAGCAAAAGTAGAATTGAGAGAATATATGATATGCATTTGAACTTTGATTTATTATCTTACTTTTCACCCCCACAATGTTTCTGTTGAGACCAGCTGACAGAGTAAGAGCTCAGCATGGAAAAAGCATGGATAATTCTGAAAAGCAGAGAACTGATAAATTACATGTGTTTTACAGCGGAGCCAGGGATATACCGTTGGAGCGAGTGAGAGTCTTTTTCTTTCTTTCTAGTCTCTTTCTTTCTATATTGGAAAGGCCAGTGTCATCCCCAAACACAGCATCTGGGAAATGCCTATGTCCCCAGGGAAGGGATCATCAAAACCGTTTACCTGGCAGTGCAGTGCAAAGAGTCAGGCAAACAGGTTTTAAATCCTGACCCTCCTACTTATGGGAGCTGTGTGACCTTGGGCACATTCTCTGGCTGAGCATCATTTTCCTCCTTCACAGAATGGGAGATGCAGTATATCCACCGTGGAGAACTGCAGTTGGAATTGCAGTAAGGATTAAAGACCGAACAATACCTGGTACATATGGTACTCAGTAAGTGGTAGGACCTGTTGTCGTCCGGCCGACTCCGACTCATAGTAACCCTATAGGACGGAGAACTGCCCCATAGGGTTTCCAAAGCTGTAATCTTTATGGAAGCAGACTGCCACATCTTTCTCCCAGGGAGCGGCTGGTGGCTTCAAACCCCCGACCTTTCAGTTAGCAGCAGAGCTCTTTAACCACTGTGCCACTACGCCTCCTTAAATGGTAGTAGTTAGTGTTATTATTACCCTGCGTACTTTATTAACAGGAGTTTCTCTGGGGCTCAGTGCTCCTCCCCATGGCTGGGAGGCATTGGCTGCATGCCAGAGGCCCAGCCATGCCAGGGAGCCTGGTCCAGAGATGCTGCTGATTGGGATGCTGATTAAATTCCCTGATTGAGGAGCCTCGGCATCCTGGCCCAGAGCAGAAGGGCCGTTAATATTTAGCACAATCTGCTTGGATCTCAAATTATTTTTCAAAACTGCCCTTTTCAAGGTCTTGTCCCTTCTCCTCACCCCTCTCTGGTCCCTTCTCTCTGGGTCCCGTCCAAACAAGGGAAAGAGAGCAGTGTGGCGTTTCCACCCCCATCCCATCCTGAGGGAAGGTAACAAGGAGCACGAAGAGGCTGTTTTCCTTGCATAAGGTGCGGCTAAAAAAAAAAAAAAAAAAAAAAAACCCTGGCCACTCAAGGTGGCTGCGGGCCTCCTCTAGGAGGCTGAAGTCTCCCGCGCGGCAGGCTGATCCTGGTGTTCTTGGCAAAACTGGGCTTGCAACTCAAACCTGTCTCTTCCTCCATCCTTTATCCCAACAGCTCGCAAATGCTTTGCTGCGAACAGCGATTAAGCGGTACTTAGTGTATTTTTCCATTTTCCTGTTTACACCGGATAAAAATAAAAAGAAACGAAAGAGACGAGTCCCGGGGTTGAACTGTTATTATGTTTAAAAGTGAAGGACAGGAGGTCACATGACTGCGAGTAACTGATTTAGTGTGAAGCGGCTGCAACGCGGAGTTTGCTGCAGAGCCGCCCCCTCCCGGCGGGGGCGCTGACGTCACGGAAAAGCCCCGTCTCGGGGCGGCGGGGCTCGCTATAAACCCGGGGCCGCGGCGCGCGCTGCAGGCGGCGGAGCGCGGTCACGGCGAGCAGTCTCCTCAGCGCGCTCCGGCATCGCGGCGCGGACGCACGCACGAACGTCCACCCGGCTGACCCGGCAGTGCCAAGTAAGGCGGGCAGGCGGCGAGGGGCTCTCCGAACGCCGCAGGGAGTTAGGGGGAGAAGTTCCGCAGAACTTCTAAGTTAAGAGCCTGGAACGTGCTGTCTGTGCTCTGGTTTTCTGGCAGCGAGCAGAGTTTAAGGTGCATAGGATGCCTCTTCTCATCAGCAGGTTCCTCAGTTCCGTTCTGCAGGGCGGTCACCTCCTACAGCGTATGTGGTCAGATGGCAGCGCTCAGTGACACTTTACGCTTTTGTTGTTTGAATGCGAGCCTGCCACCTAAGGCCCTGCTTTCACCAGCCGGTCATCCTGTTTAGTGGCCGAGGTGTTGGGGTGCGGGTGTGAGTGGGGATGGAGTGTGTGTATTTCTCACCCATATAGCGGAGAACAGACCCCAGGTAGGGGAGAGGGAGTCGCTCAAAGGGGAAGTTGTAGCCAAATTGTTGAATGTCATTCAGGAGGTCTTCGGACTTCTCATTTCCATCAAGAAGGTGGAAATCTGAGTGGAATCAAAGAACTGTCAGAGTGGACGTGGTTTACTAAGAGTGAAGCACTTTCTCTGCAAATCTGTTAGGTCTCAACGTGACCGAGTCATTTATTTACATGACAGAATGACGAGGCTTGGGGCTGAGATATTTTAAATGGGATCTCTGTGGGCAAGAGGGCAGAGCTGAGGCATAAACTTCAAACAGAGATTCTCTTGACCCCAAATAATAGCCTAGTCAGGCGGCTGGATAGTATCAAGGCAACTTGACTAAACATGGAAGTTCCAATAAGTGCGTGTCCAGTCCAGGCAGGGGGAGTGACGTCATTGCCACGTGTTTCCCACCAAGGCACAAAAGCCAGCTGGATGCCTGGTACAATTAAGAGCCATGTTTAGACAAGAGCCCTTAACCTCGCCAGCTGGTGCCGAGCTCCATTAACTTGTTGCTTTTCAAGCCATCGCTTGAGGCTGTTGGTTCCTTCTGGGTGCTTCTGTGCCTGCTCTGAGCAGGGGATCCCAAGGCTTTTCTGGGGATGGAGGAAGCCCATGGGCAGTGGGCACTGTTAACGGTACTTTCTTTTCTCTTTGCAAAAATGACAGTTTAGAAAGCCTGCCTGAGAAGCAGCTTACTAATAGTGTGGAGTGCTTGTGTGTGTATGTGTCCAGTTCAAAGACTGGCTGGTTTGGGGTTTGGGACTGATTCATTGGTATTCCTTATATTAGGAATACTCAGTTCTCACCCCATCTAATAAAATGTCAGTGATGACCAAGCATGTGTTTGAGTCCCCTGAGCTCATGCCTACTAATGCAGGCATCTTGGCCACTCTGCTCTCCAGGACCCAACGATGACTCTGAATAATGTCACCCTGCGCCAGGGCACTGTGGGCATCCAGCCACAGCAGCAGCGCTGGAGCATCCCGGCTGATGGCAGGCATCTGATGGTCCAGAAGGAGCCCCACCACCGCACCCGTCACTCTGCTAACCCCGAGGACCACTGCCGGCGGAGCTGGTCTTCCGACTCCACAGACTCAGTCATCTCCTCTGAGTCAGGGAACACCTACTACAGGGTGGTGCTCATAGGGGAGCAGGGGGTGGGCAAGTCCACTCTGGCCAACATCTTTGCGGGCGTGCACGACAGCATGGACAGCGACTGCGAGGTGCTGGGAGGTAGGTGTCCTGTCCATCTGCAGTGGTCCAGGCAGAGACAGTGAGCAGATGGGTTATTTATCTGCAGAGTTGGCTGAGGAGCTGGGTCCAAAGCAAAGCTCTGGCACAGGGCTTCGGGGCAAGAAAATGAGAATGCTTGTAGACAAAGACCAGAATCTCTTGAATCTGCGCCAGAAAGGGAATTTCTTAGATTTCAACTCTAAGGGAAGTGGGGAGGCTGATTGAAGAGGGCAGAGTAAGAGGGTCAGGGTCACACCGCTCGCTTATGCTGACTTTGACCTGGACTAGCTCTCTGCCTCTCCTTGCCTTCCTCCTTCCCCTTGAGTGTTCATTTTGAAACGTGCCTGCTTGCCTTGGAGGAGGATGGACTGTGGTGAAGGTGAGGTCTTCCTATGCCTTGGCCTGAGGGGCACCTTCTTCCAGGAGATCAAGCACAGGCACAGCCTTGTTTCCATGGTGATAACTAAAACCAAACTAATTTGAAAAACTGTTAGGATGGTGTCATCAGTGTGTTTCCCACCAATACTAGAGTCTTTTGAGGCTGTAAAATAGGTCAAAGTCTGTACTTGAAATAGTACAATTATTTTTTTACATTTAAAGAATAGTAGTGTAAATACTTTACATGTATAGAGTCTTAGAGTCTTACAGTTTTTCCAAAACAGTTTTCCCTTTATAATCTTATTTACGTATTTTACTTTGTCAAAACTAGTTTGAGGTGACATTATCTCATAAATGGATGTAGTCCTCAACTATGTGTAAAGCACAGTCCTGTATTTTGAGAAGTAATATGTAGATCCTAATTGCCAATGGTATTCATACAGTGTCTTCCTGCCACAGCTTCAGAATCTTAGCATATGTGACCAGGGTATCTGTGTACCCCTATTTGCAGCTGTAGAAATGAAGTCCAGTGCTTGCCTAAGTCACATGGTCTGCCCGTCCTTTTGATTGCGACTCAAACAACTGAATCACAGACTCCTCCAGCAGGAAGATGCCTTAGTGATGACTCAGTTTTACCCTCTACTTGATGATACGCACTACTCCTCACTACCAACATTTTGTTCTTCTTCAACTAAACCTCTTATTGTTCTTGACTTAATCTACAGTGTCAGGGAGTTTACTACTTCATGAGGCAACTCAGACAACTGGGCTGTAAGAGATGACTCACTGACGTAACACTGATTTCTCTCCTCACTTCCGGGATCTCAGGGACTCTAGCTAAACCAAGAGTCAAGGGAGAAATAAGGCCAGTATTGGTCAGTTCGAATCTCTCTTTCTTTGCGAAGGCTGAGGGGTGGCTGTTCCGAGAAAAAGAGGAAAGCGAGAAAGGAACTAACTTTTAGAACAAGAATTTGCAATAAAGAGGCACTTTATTGGGAGTATTACATTTGCTATTGATTTTTTTTTTTTTTTTTTTGGTGCTCACAAAATTCCTGTACTCATATAAGTAAACTGAGTCTCAGAGAGGCCAAGTGACTTGCCTAGAAACACCCAGTGGTGAAGAAGCTGGGATTAGAATTTGGGACTGTAGAATCTTAGCTCAGTGTTTTTTTCATTCTGTCATATATAGGGCACTTTCTATATGCCAGGCACTGTGCTGTGTACTTCCCACATTTATTTTTGATAATACTTATAAAAATTGAACCAATTTGGTGTTGATATCCCATTTTACAGGTGAAGAAATGGAGGCTTACAAAGTCAAGTTACTCTCCCAGGGTGAAAAAGCTAGTACGTGGTATGACCAGGATTCAAGTCTAGTTGTGTTTGACCCAAATTTTGTGTTATTTCACAGTATTGTGCACCCTGGGTCTAGTTCCCAAACACTGTTAAATACTTCAGCCATTTGGTTGGGCATCAGCCACATGCCTGGCTCTGTGCTAAGCTCTGGGGTACACAGTGATAGATGAGGTATAGTCTCTCTTAGCAAGGAGCTAAGTGTCAGGGGCAGTAATTCAGAGCAAGGTAAAATTCGTAAGTATCTTAAGAAGTAACAATATAGTGCTTTGGAGATTGAGATAAGGAAGAGATCAACCAAGAGGTTTTTCTTTTTTTTGAGAGAGAAATTGAAAAAGTTAGTGGCTATTAGGCTTTAAAAAATGTTTTTTGATTAGAATGGAGTGTTATCTATCCAGAGGGTGGTATCTCCATAGGCATAGAGTGTTAAGAAGGCTAACTCATACCTGGAATTTGGAACGACAGGCTTGTATATTTGGGAAATTTCTTTGTTTAATCAGACAGAGAGAGAGAGGGAACTAGAATCCCTTCCTATCTCCTCAAACAGAAAATCTTTGACAACGAGACGCTTCTCTGGTAACCCATGCAATCTAGTGTGTCCTGTTTGAGTAACTTAATTTCTACCATCTAGGATTACATCAGTTGTCTGAAGGTGGCTGTTGGAATCACCAGTTGGCTTTTCATTTCCCAAGCGGAAGGTTTAGTTTTTCAAAGGCATGCCCACGTTATTTTTTGGCATTAGACATAAGAAAAATAAATCTATGTAATGTTCTCATTAGTATTTCTCTTAATAAAGATGGATATTATTACAGTTATATTGAAATAATCTTATGACTCTCTACTGTATATTTAATGTTCGTTCATTCATTCATTCATTGTTAAACAATTACTGAATATCTACAATGGAACTTGGTGAGGCACTATGGAACTTACAAAGATGCAGGAGGCTTCTTTCCTAAAGATGCTGAAAGTATGCAATGGCGATCAGATATGTACCAGCTACCAATCAAGGTAGGATGTGATAGGTCCCTTGAAAGAGGTACAAAGAAGGTGTTCTGGGAATTCTGAGGAGAAAAGATTCCTTCTGGCTGTGGGAGTCAGAAAAGACTTTATGCCAGAGATGGTCTCTGAGCTTCATCCCAAAGACAACTAGGATTTGGAAGCCCTGAGTTAGGGAAGAAGGCACAACAGATGTATACTGGGAAGTACCTGAAAGAGCAGTGGTCTTGGAGACTGACGATGTGTATTTGAACCCCAGCTCTGACATTAACTTAGCTGAGTGCCCTTGGGCAAGCTGCTCAACTTCCTCAAGCTTCCCAATTAGTAAAATAGGAATAATACCTATTTCATAGGATGTTATGAGGAGCCCCGGTGGCACAGTGCTTAAGTGCTCAGTTGCTAACCGAAAGGTTGGTGGTTTGAACCCACCAGCTGCTCTGCAGGAGAAAGACGTGGCAGTCTGCTTCCATAAAGTTTACAACCTTGGAAACCCTATGGGGCAGTTCTGCTGTGTCCTATAGGGTTGCTACGAGTCAGAATCGACTTGACGACAATGAGTTCTTTTTTGTTAGTTTGTTTTGTTTGATGAGGGCTAAAGGAAATAGATAACATATATTTAGCATGTAGCATAGTGCCTGGCACGTAGTAAATGCAGAGTAAACATTAGTTAGAACTGATTTGAATCTACTGTTTCCATGTGTTCATCTTCCAAAGCTGTCAGTTTCATCGCTTTAGGCCTCCATCCACTCTGGTCACTCTTGGCTGGGGCCCTCTGAGACCTGCAGAGGAGATACAAGCCATAGAGGAGAGGATGACATTCCCAGAGCAGGTGCTTCTTCCAGGGTCCCTTGGGGTCCCTTGCGTTATGAATGCTGAAAGCAGTTCAAGGTTTTGGTGGGAGGGATACTGGAGGCTCAGAATATTTGAGTGGCTGCAGGATCCAATTGCAGCATATGATAGAATTCCTGTATGGGTTCCATACACAGCCCTGAGCCAGTTTTGGGATGCGGGGGGGTGGGGTGGGGAGGAGACTCCAAGCACAAAGGGAATCCGATGAGAAAAGACAAGCAGAGGTAAACTAGTCCAGGGAAAATAGCTATGGACCACAGTCACTCAGCTTAGAGCCTCGATCCACCCCATCAGGATGATCTCTCTTACTGCAGAGGAGTGACACACCTGGCTTCCATCTAGTCCTAGACCCAGGCTACTGAAAAGCCCCAAAGCCAGTAGGCCTCAAACCTTTCTGGCTGATTTTTCTTGCAAGTAGATTGCCAGACCTTTCTTTCGAGGCACCTCTGGGTGGACTTGAACCACCAGCCTTTCTGTTAGCGCCAAGCTCAGCTAACCAATTGTGCTACTGAAGGACTCCCCACAAACCTTAACCCAGAGCAAATTTCAAAGAGTTCTAGAGTTTCTTATTATTTTATTTTCCCTCTTTGCACCTGATTAGCACTTGAAAAGGCTAAAAGGTGAGTGACGAAGGAAGAGAAACCTAGAGCTTTCTTTTGTTACACATAGGCTCATCCCGGTTAACTGAAGGCCTCAAACCGGAGGCCTTGTGTGTTTGAAGAATCCTTGGGGCACGCTGCCAGAGGCGATATATAAACCCCGGTGCCAAATGGAGAAAAACAGGGTGGAGATATATTGTTTTAGACTCCTCGGTTCCCAACACAATGATTTGTAGGTCGAGGTTAATGCCAGAGAGAATGATACTGTCAGGAAGCTTCCAGAATTGCAAAGCATTTTGATTCTACTTTCATGGCTATAATCCTTAGTCTTCTTTTTCTCTAGATTTGTTCTGATGTCTCTTAAACCAAGAGAAAGTTTGAGTTGCCTTTTTTCCTTAGCTATTGGATGCATGCAGTATGTTTCTATTTGAACTGCTTGGCATTCAAGTGATTCCCTTGCACCTGCTGCTTTTACCTGCTTTTGGGCGTAAGTGGAGGGCTGAGGGTAGAGCAAGTGCTTTATTGAGAGGGTTTTCTGAGCGTGGGAAGTGGTTTCAGAGAAGAGATAAAAACTGTATGGTTTTTCGTAAGGGTCAGTCAGCCCCTTGATTTGTGCTGCCCAGATTCTGCTGATTTGCATACGGCTGTATAAATTTGCATGTTGAGGCCATGAGGCCCTACCCTCCACTAAACCAAAGAAAGCATCCCACTGTGAGTTCATTTATGCTGCATTTTGTGGACACAGCAAACATGCTGAGCATAACAGATTTTTAATCCAACCAGTGGAAAACAATTACCATTTGTTAAAAGCATGACACTTTTAGGAGGTAGGGGACCTGACAGAAAGACTGAGCCATCTGTGCACCTAATGGTAGTTAACTTTCTTCTCATTTGTCCACTTTTTCTTTCTTGATTGTTGCAGTTCCTAGATGAAAAAACATTAAACAGAAGCACTGCTGTTCATAAACTCCTCACTACTGTGAAACAAGAAACGCCCCAGTTCCTCCAGCACAGCGCTCTTAAACTGTTCATGTTATGTGCCGTTGAGTCAATTCTGACTCGTGGTGACCCTGTAGGACAGAGTAGAAGGGTTTCCAAGGAGTGACTGGTGAATTTGAACTGCCAACCTTTTGGTTAGCAGTCCAGCTCTTAACCATTGCGCCACCGGGGCTCCGTAACTAGGATTTACCTGTAGTAGGAAATGCCAGATTTGGTAAGAACCAGCTTCCTATATCTGAAGAAGTAATGATGATAGCTAATGTCTATTGAGTTTCTGCTTTGTGCTTAATGTATGTCACACAGCCCTAAATGGTGGATACTATCATTAATACCATTTCCCAGATGAAAAAACAGGCTAGAGAGTTTAAGTAAGTGGTCCAGAACCACATAGTTAATAAGGGATGACATCCAGATTCTAATTCAGGTTTGCTTGTGCTCACAGCCGCTATATATATATTTATCATTGATTCATTCATTCATTCATGAAATATTTATTTGAGCACCTGCAATGTACCAGGCACTGTCCCGGATGCTGGGGGATATAGCGGTAAACAGCACAGTTGCAAATCTGTGCCTTAACACTCTGAGGGGAGGCACAGAGGCACAGAAAATAGTAAAATCAATAAACTAAATGTATAGCGTGCTTGATGGTGATAAGTGCAAGGAAGCAAAATAAAGACGACAGGAAGGAATATGGGGGAGGGAGGAGCTATCGCAATTTTAAGTAGATAATTGGGAAAGGAACAGTAAGGGAAACAGTAAAGTAATAAGGCTTGCAGATACCCGAGCGAAGAGATTCCAGGCAAAAGGAACAGTAAGAAAAATGATAAAAATCTTTATGAAAATCATAGTTTTTAGATGTTGAAATTCAAAACAGGAAACTCATTGTGAAAATAGAGGGAGTGCGGATGGGTTTAGCTGTATAGGGTTGATGAGAATCCCTCTTGCAGAAGCCCCAGTGTTCGCCATCTCTTCTTCAACTGCCCCGCACACTGGTTTTTCTGGGCTGGAGCTGCTCCGGCCGTTGTATAGCGTTCACCCTTCCCTATGTGCGATGTGCACTCAAGTGCAGGGAAGAAAGTTTCCATTACCAAGTAGAGCTGGAGGCTGCGCTCCTGCTGTGCTCAAGATGGAAAAACTAGCCTGTTTATGCCTAAGGAACTGCATTCTTTAAGGAAGAAAACTTCAGCCAAAATAAGGACAGTCTCAGGACTTTTTCTTTTTCCTTGCACTTCTCCAAAGAGGAGAAATGTTGCTGAGCTCAAAGCTACTGAAATTGCCAGTCACTGGGTAGAAATCGGAGCTCTGGTGGTGCAGTAGTTAAGAGTTACGGCTGCTAACCAAAAGGTCAGCAGTTCGAATCCACCAGCCACTCCTTGGAAACCCTATGGGGCGGTCCTACCCTGTCTTATAGGGTCGCTATGAGTCGGAATCGACTCGATGGCAGTGGGTTTGGTTTTTGGTTTGTTCAGTAATCACCTCACTGAAAGGTACAAGGGAGAGATGAATTTCCATAGGAGGCTTGTGGAAACAGGGCTTCTAGTTCCCCCGGACAGTTAATGCTTTCTTATAACATCACCCTTTGAATCTGAGTCACAAACTCTTAAGGATGTTTATCCTCATAAATTGTTTTCCTATAGAAAATGTCCAGGAATGATGAAAACAATTGCCTTTCACTTCAGGCTGTTTGTGATAACACAGTTAGGACACGTAGGTGTGCTGCTTAGGAAGTACTGGAGGGAATAGATGTAGAATGTTGTTGAAGGTGATAAAAAATAGTAACGTACCTTGGTGAATGTCTGTATACTTACATAATTAATTGCATATTTGTTAAGTTTAATTTTCTACATGAGAAAGAAATTTCCCTCTATTACTCCAAGCATAATTTTATACATGATCCTTTTATATGAAAGTGCAACATGTTTGCCTGACTCCAATATCACTGTTCTTTCTTTTCTAGAAGATACATATGAGCGAACCCTGATTGTTGATGGAGAAAGTGCAACAATTATACTCCTGGACATGTGGGAAAATAAGGTATGCGGAGCCTGTAGCTGTCTGTGAATTCCTTCAGGGTCTTCCAACAGGCTGTTTGATGGGAGGGTGACCTTGCCATGTAAAGATGATGTTCCAGATGAAGTGGGAGCATTTTCTTGATTAAAAGCATTAACTTATGAAGAATGAGACTGTTCTAAAGAACAATCACAAATCAGCTCTGAATAACAAGCAAGTTACGGTGATTTCCCTTGGTTCTGTTAAAAAATACACAAAAGCACATTTGTTTTAGGGAAAGTGTAAACAAGTATGGGTGATTATTTTCAACTTCATAAAACCATCTTATGTGAAGTTGACATTCTCAGTCCTAGCCTTCAACGTTCGCTTTTTAGATTTAGGGCTTCTGAGCATATATGCTTTGCTTTCTATTTATTGAGAACCCTCCTATTCTCAAAAAAAGGATTTGTAATTTATCACTTAGGAAAGGCAAAAGGGAGTTTTGGAGACCCCAGAAAGGTCTCATTTTTGGTAGTTAAGATAGATAGAAGTTGGGAGTATTGGTTGGCAGAGTAGTTGTGTAATTCATCAACTCAAGCTGTGGGAGAAATTGGAAAGTAACATCTGTTTTGCATAAGTACTATACGGGCTCCCAGTCTTTGCAGCCACCAGACATCTTGTAAGCATGGAAGACAGATGCATTTTGGGGAGTTGGCAAGCAGTTTTCTTCTTTCTCTTGTCAGCAAGGGTAATTAAGGGTAGACATATTGTTTCTTTTCAAACGCACTCCTCATGTACCTGGTCAGCCTGAGCTCATGGAAGATCTTCTCATTTCATTAGGGAGAGAATGAATGGCTCCAAGACCACTGCATGCAAGTTGGGGATGCCTACCTGATTGTCTACTCCATCACAGACCGCACGAGTTTCGAGAAGGCATCTGAGTTGCGAATCCAGCTCCGCAGGGCCCGGCAGACAGAGGACATTCCTATCATCTTGGTTGGCAACAAAAGTGACTTGGTGCGGTGCCGGGAAGTGTCTGTTTCAGGTAAGAGGAGCTGTGCCGATACCATAGGAACAGTCTCTGGAGCACCTGCATTTTCCTTCACACAGGTGTTATTCCCTTCTTCATGAAGCTGGAACCAGGGACTCATTAAAATGCTACATGGAGTTTTATGTATGGCTCTACCCTCCCACCTTCTCCATAAATCATCTCCATGCTGGACAATGCTCTCTTGTCCCTCTGGTCTACCTGCTGAATTCCAATCCCCCCACTTCCAAGGGCTTCTCTGGAATTCCTTTAGAGATGAGATCCTGCTCAGGACCTTATTGGCAGCCTCCAACCTTTTCTCCTTATTCTCCAGGGAGATCCCAAAATTTTCTAGTCTCCAGGGAGATCCCGAAATTTCAGGGAAATAAACATAGCATCTTAATGCAAGAAGGATGGGGAATTCTGATTTAAGGAAACTGTGAGAAAGAGTTTCACTGGGAATATGAATTTTACCCTGGCTGCCTTTTGTCCCTGTGGACCCAAGAAACAACGCACTGTACTCCCCCTAAATTTCAGTTAAGGCATGAGTCTGATGGTATCTCATACATTTTTTCATACTTAGTTTAGGGATAATTCATATTTACTACATGGGCACCCAAGTGCTTTTAGGACCCTTGAGATTTTATTAGCCTAATACAGATTTAGTCCCTGTACAATTGTAAAAAACAAAATACTGTGTATCTGGGAAGAAAAAACCTGATAAGGACCTAAATATATGCAACTATTTTGGGCATATCTTTCTATTAGGAAATAGCTGTCTACAGTAATCATTTTTTCCAAACGAAAACATGGACAACATAGTCTTTGAACATGATGAAATATTTGAAACTGAGACTGTTCCAGAAGAGCTTGTTTGTATAATTTACTAACTGTATTATGCATTTGTTAAATCCTCAAAATTTTTTCAGAATACCTCATCACAGTTTGTTTTCATTTTTTTGAAGAGAAGAAGGCCACAGTGGTAGAATTCTTATTTTCAGTTCAAGGAGTTGAGTCAGGATGGTGTTAAGAATTTGGGCTTGAGAATTAAGCAGGCCTGTATATAAATCTGCCACTTACAGGCTATGTGAACTTCCTCAAATTTTTAAATGATTCCCCTCTGTTTCTTCATGTGTCTGTTAGGAATTTTTCAAGATTATAGTGGGCATTAAAAAAAGTTTATAAAGCACTTAACCCAGTTCTGGCACGAAGTAAGCCTACAAAAAGTTAACACTATGGTCTTTACTGTTATCATCAATATCGCTATGTTTAATGCAATTGGACCTTCACACAGTGAGTTTCTGGTGGACCAGATCTAAAGCCCATCTCTCCTGTTTCCGGGGTTTCCTTGGTGAGATTCTGTGCTTCTACTTATGCCCTGGGAGAACATGTGGCCTCCTGTAGCCACTGCAAATATGACAGAACAATTTTAAATCAGAAATCATCTCGTTTGGCTGTGTACTGTGTAGGATCATACTCCGCAGCCCCCCTGACTTCCTTCTCACCTTCTTTTCTTTGCAGAAGGGAGAGCGTGCGCTGTGGTGTTCGACTGCAAGTTCATTGAGACCTCTGCAGCTGTCCAGCACAACGTGAAGGAGCTGTTCGAGGGCATCGTGCGGCAGGTCCGCCTTCGGCGTGACAGCAAGGAGAAGAACGAGCGGAGGCTAGCCTATCAGAAAAGGAGGGAGAGCATACCCAGGAAAGCCAGGCGCTTCTGGGGCAAGATTGTGGCCAAAAACAACAAGAATATGGCCTTCAAGCTCAAGTCCAAGTCCTGCCATGACCTCTCTGTGCTCTAGGTGCCCACAATCACATCACCTAGATGTCCTCCTGGATGGACATTGCTGAAGGCCATTGGGACCAATAATCTATATTAGATTGGATACTGAAGTATTGTTAGATGTGGCTTCCTCCATTGCAGTTGGGAATTAATGTGTTAGCCTCATGGACAACATAATGCATGGGAGATGAAAGATCTTTGTAAAGAGTCAGTATTTATTCCCAGGAAAAGCCTTGTCCTTGCTACTCGAACGCCCAAGACTCATTAGAGGACATGTTTGGTGTTCACATGTGTTTCCTGTCTCCTTTGGAAAGCAGAGAATTGAAACCTACAAAAGAATGCCTAGAACAAGAACTTTCCATTATTTAATTTTGCCCAGTATTTTGATATGTGAACTTAAGGCCAGTAGGTCATAAACAAGTATAGGAAAGCCATCCAAGGTTTATTCAAAGGAGGGAGAACTTTCTGTGTACCTTGTATTCTCCATGGAGCTAGAAGTGTAGAACTGGGCTCATCATGATCATGACTATGATTGCTCCATAAAGCTGTGAAAAGAAATGATGGACCTTGCTGGAAGCTAAAGCTTAGCGTACAGTTTTTGTTCACTGCCCACACTTGGGAATCCAGAGATTTATAGAATTGGGAACTGACTATATTTACAATTTACGGGTTCAAAAATGATATCTTTACTTATGTGTCTTACATTTTTTATTTAGAGGAAAATTATTTTAATCAAATTCTACTTAGTGAAACCACATTTTATGTTTCTTTATTTTTGAAATCACAAAGCCATCAAAAATATTTTTAAAATCTGAATTATTGATAACCTGAAGTGCAAAATGCCAAATGGTTAAATATAATCAGTGGTCTGAATTTTTATAAAACACATAACAAATACTTCTGTGCTTTGGGTTGACCGTTGTATGCCACAGCTCTGCTTTATTATTATTTTGCAAGATAGTAACCATTTTAATATTTGATAAAGTATATTTATGAATGTATTTCTTAATAGGAAAGATGTCCATTTTATTACCATTTTCTACATTTTTCAGAATATACAAGTTTTTACCTATATGTCTTATAATAAAAGAAATAAAATCTTTGAAAAAAAGGCATTCTTAAATGTTATTCCATCTCAAACAAGATAATTATGATTATTTTAAGGTAACCTTTTAGAGCAAGCATAATCTAAAGGGACATCTATTATTTTCGTTTTCATTATCTGTTTTAAGGAGTATCTATCCCCAACATCTCGTCCTTTGGAACCATACATACCGATACAGTTGGGAAGTATTTGGGGTCGTCTAAAAGCTAAGTTATAGTAATGCCCAGATCGACCTTTTACTTTGGCAAATTCCTGACTGAACAGATGGGCCTAGCTTTGTTCTCTGAAGGCTCATGGTCTTTAGCTTAACTAAAGCATTAGAGGAAATTATAAAGGATTAGGGAAAAAATGGACATGAGTGATTTTCATTCAGCCTGAGATTTAGCCAGGCAGGGCTTTAACCGAATCCTCCTCTCTGATGCTAAGACAGTTTGACATTAATTGCGTGGCATTAACCCTGGTGTTGGAGTGGAACTTTCTGGTGTTCCCCTTTCACTGGCCCCTACACGCACCATTTTTCATTCTCACCTCCCTGTCTTTCTGAGTTTGTAAACGGACACATAAACTAATATTGACATTCATGCGGCCTCACATATCGCTAAAGTTGACACAGTTTTCAAAGGTTTCTGAGTGCTCTGTTGAGTTGGCTTCTTCCGCTCCTTTGCCTAGGTTGAAAGCAAAGGTTCCCATCTCTGTGCACCTCATCTTTGAATTGCTCAAGAAGGCAGTGCAGGGAGGTGCTAAGAGTAAAGGTTCAAGTTACCAGTCCCAGACTTCAATCTTGACTGTGCCCTTCAATATCAACGTGTACTTGCAGCAGTTAAAGTTTAAACCTTTTTTTTTTTTTCAATATTTTATTGCAGTTTTGGTGAAAGTACACACAACAAAACAGATTCCCATTCAACAATGACTACTAATGTTCAGACCTTGGTTACATTCTTCACGTTGTGTCAACATGCTCATTGTTTCCATTCTAGTTGTTCCATTCCCATTAATCTAATCTCACTGCCCCCTCCCCACCCCCAACCTTCTCATCCATGCTTTGGAGTAACTCTTGTCCATTTGGTCTCGTCCAGATAATTTTTTGAAAGAGCGCAGTACTCAAGGGTGGCATTCTTTATTTTTTGAGCTAAACTGCTGTGTAGTTGAAAGGTGACTTCAGAGGATAGTTTTGGTTCAAGGTTCAAAAACTATCTCGGGGCAATAGTCTTCCATTAAGAAGAAAGGTTAAACCTTTCTAACCATCAGTTTCCTCATCTGCAAAATGAGATTGCTAACGGTACCCTATAGGGTTGTTGTGAGATTAGTCTTTTAATCTGGCATGTAGTAGGAGCCCAACAGACGTTAGTTATCGTCATACATCTTCCATTCTGCATAAATTAGAGTTAGTGTTGTATATCTGTCTCCCCTATCTGAAAGGAAATTCCTTAAAATCAGCGATCACTACGTATTTTCCTTTTGAGTCCTCTTGAGTACTGTGCCTTGCATATGTTTTGACTTTTCATAGCTGTTTCTTCTTGAATTTAGTAGATGGCCCCATGAGGTTGACAGGCCATTTTTTAACCACCTATCCCTTCCTCTCATCCCCTAGTAAGCACTAATTTTCTTTTGTCACAATGGATTTACCCATCCTTGATATTTCATGTAAATGAGATCATAGAATATTTGTCCCTTTGTGTCTGGCCTGTTTCACTCAGCATAATGTTTTCAAGGTTCATCCATGTTGGAGCTGTGTCAGAACTTCATTTCTCTTTATGGTTGAATAATATTCCATTGTATGTATGCACCACATTTTGTTTACCCATTCATCTGTTGATGGACACCTGGATTGTTTTCAGCTTTTGGCTATTATGAATAGTGCTGCAGTGAACATAGGTGTACTTGTGACGGGCCATTTTATAGCAAACAAGTTTGGGGGTGGGTGGGTAAATGACTTGTCCAAGTTTATTCAGATGTTAAGGGTCTGGGCTGGGACTGGAGAGCAGATGTGACTCCTAGTTATTTGCATTTTTAGTGTTCAATACTGTTTCCCATGAACACACAGCCTTTTTCATCCCATTTACCACCACACACAGACACATACTCCACACACATACATACACCACAGACACATACACTCACACACGACACACACATATAACACACACATGCAGCACACATACCCCACACTCCACACACCTCGTCCACACTCCCCACCACCGACACATATACCCTCACACACCACAGACACACAGAAGGCATACATCACAGCCCACACACACCACCCACATTCCCCCCACATACCCCCTACACCACAACGCACATTCTACATACACACACACCACGTGCACACTGCATGCACACATCACACACTCTACACCCCCACACCACAGACACCCCTCATACTATACCCCCCACCATCACACACAAACATAAACCCTCCTCCACACACCACACACACGCCACACACACACACACACACACACACACACACACATTCTTTGTCTACACTATTCTCTGTTCTCAGGATTCAACCTTCATTGTCACTTATTTCAGACCTTCCCAGTCAAATGGCCACAGATCCCAAGCATCCCAGGCTTCACAGTGTGTTTCGCATTGTTGCACCTAGGCTCCCTCAGCTTGACCCAGGGAAGGACAGTGAAGGCTGCATTTCAACCTGAGAGGCTTTTTCATTAAGAAGTACAGCTCTGGAGTCAGACAGACCTGGCTTTGAATCTGGTTTCATCACTTACTGGTTATATGACCAAGGGTAAGTTCTTTATCCTTGAACAGCCTCAGTTTTCCCATCTGTAATATGGGGATAATAATAATGCCTACCTCATAGCGTTGTAGTGAGGATGCCATGAGACCTGCAAAAATATGAGTTGTTATCCCAGGGATAACAATGACTACGTTTACACTAACACAGCTTATATGCCTTCATTTACTCATGCATTCTTCAAACGTTATTTGGCACCCAGGCACTGCTGGGTGCTGGGAATAAAATGATGACTAAGACATTGCTCTCGTCCACAGACACTTTGGGTGTAATAAACTAGACTGACCAGAAAAGCCATAGAAGGTGACATTGAAGATAAGAAGAAAATGAAGAAATGGTGGAAGGATTATAGATGGAGGGGGCTGCGTTTGCTGCCATTAGATAAAATTCAAAGAAGGAAAAAAAAATATTCTAAAATGATTGGATTAGATATTGAGAAGTAAATTGCACTATTTTTTAAAATTTCATTTTCGGAAAGTGGGAGCATTAGAGAAAGATTGATTTTTAAACATCCTACATTTTTGCTTACTAGTACATGAACTCTTCAATATAGGGAGAGATGCGTGATTGATTATTAATTCATTTGGCCAAATTTATGGAGCTCCTGCTTGTGCAAAGTGCTATGGAGAATACAAGGTGGGAGAAGGCAGTTTTGCCTTTAAGAAGCTTATGACACAGTTAACAGTGGTGGGAAGTGGGGGCAGTGGTGACTAAAGACAGGTGCACACACAAAACAATTAGAATATGGTGTGGAATGTAACAAGGGCAATTGGAGACATCTGAACTAAGTCAATTGGAACTTGAGTGGGAGAGAAAATTCCATGCTTGGCTGGTGCAATCATGGATGTTTTCTTGGAGGAAGTGGCATTGAACTTGATCAAGACTACTTAAGATTTCCACTAGGAGCGTTGGTTGGAGTGAGGAAAAAGGGCAGGTTGGTCTATGTAAAGAAAACAGCATGAACAAAGGCAGAGAGGTAGGAAACCTGTTTGGAAAAACAAGGAAAGTCCAGTTTGGCCAGAGGCTTCCTGGGAGGTGGTTTCATGAAGTGATCAAATGCATGAGGCTTGGAGTCAGATAGGCCTAGTTTCAAATTCTTACTTGTTGAGTGATTTAGGGCAAGTTACTTAGCCTCCAAAAGCCTCAATTGCTTCATCCGAAAAATATCTGACAGGATTATTATAAGGATTACATATAAAGTGCTTAAGTCATTTTCTGCGAGGTGGGGAGCTACTAAATTGGGACGACGAACAGGAGACCAGTTGTAGAATATACTGAATTCTCAGCTGAGAAGTTTGGACTTAGTTCAGAGGGAATGTGGTGTTTGAATACTTCTTCTTGAGTTTAATAGATCTTCCCCATAGCCCCATGAGGTTGACAGGCCATTTCGTCAAATAGGGGTATGACCAGTTCAAAGTGGTACTGCTTCCGGAAATTGCTCAGGAGAGCTGAGCCTGGCAGGAACTGGAAGACCCAAGACCCACCTTGAAGAGACAATAAGGAGACCACCACCGCATCTAGACTGATGTGCTGGGTGATGGGTTACAGGCAGAGTGATGGAAGTCACTTATCAAGAGAAGACTTGACTCAGTACCTGCATCTGATGTGTGCACTGGGCTTAGAGAGTGCCCATGTTGGGTGGCATTAAAGGTTTTGTACTAGGAGTGCTTACAAAGCACCAAGGCCCTGATCCCTGTGAGAGCCACACAGCATGAGACTTAGCCAAGGCCCTGGATATGAGATTACAGTGCAGTAAGGAACCAACCACAAAAACAACAGAACCTACACCATCAGTAATTGTCTAGTCTTAGCTCCTGAGACAATGAAGTAAATTTTATACATCTGCTTTTCATGTAATGTGCCTAGGGAAAAATGTATACAAACCAAGACCTGGAGGTTTTTTTTTAGCAAAGCAATGCTGTTGTCTGCACAGGTGACTCCGTGGTGAGCATGTGCGTGTGTGTTGGTGTCTGTGTGTGCACCTGTGTTTGCTCTGTGCCCGTGTCTCTGTGCGTGTATGGGGGTGTATTTCTGTGTATGTGCTTATGTTGGGTATGTGTGTGCGCTTATGTTTGGTCTGCGTGTGTGTGTGTGTGTGTGTGTCTCCGTTGGTGTCTGTGTGTGTGCCTATGTTTGGTCTCTGTGTGTGTGTATATATCTGTGTTTGGTTTGTGTGTGTGTGTGTGTGTATGTGTTGGGGGCAGAAGTAAGAAAGAGAGGGCTCACAGTCAAAGGAAAAGTAGAGTATAGGCAATTAGAAGTAGCTTCAAGTATCAACTGGACCGAACTCTTGCTCCATTTTTCAATATGTATATTCCAAAACTGGCGATGCTGTCAGTGGTCTTACTGATTTCAGTGTCTACCAAGGTAACCGAGTAAACAAGAGATGCAGGCTCTTCCTG